CTGCATAAACCCGCAGTGTCACCATATAATAATGCCAGATTGTTTAAAAACAAATCCTGAAACACAAAATCCAAAACCTGCCATTCTGTGGATCAGGATCTGACTCAAATGAATGTCTTTCACACAACTGCTGATTTCTGTCGTTTGTTTGTGAACTTATTTATTGCACGCACCTTACAAATGTACATTATTAAAATATATGCAGTTAAATGAGTGTTTTTCTGTTGCATTAATAATGTTTATCTTCCCATTTGTATCTCTGCTCTTTCAGTGAGTGTCTGGACATATTTTGCAGTTCCAGTGCCTCGACTGCTTCCTCTCTGATCATCTTGGTGCTTTGCTTTCTTTTGCTAGTCAGTTAATCATGACAAATCGCTATTATCACTGCTCTATGTCTGACTGTTCAGTAAAAACTACATCTCTCTTCAGTCGTCTGGTATATCATAGCTAAGTGTGTATATTCTTACATGGATCATGGGCCTATCTGTATTCATTTATGTATAATCAATGTTAATCTTAGCTTTAATCATAATAGTTATCAATATATTGCAATGTTAAGCTCTTATTGTTATCATAATGAATGATTCACACATTCTCTGTAGAGGTTAAGGTAAATAGTTACAATATTTGTGTGATCAATCACTGCCTGAACACTATTGGTAGGGTAAATCAGTTTTATAACCATGACTAAAATGTTCCAGTGTGTGAAACATGACTTTGAAACAAAATTAAATGGATTGCATTAACACTGCTGGCATCTGAATACATTGTATTTCCAGGGCTTGCATTTTTGGGTCTGAAATTTAACGTTTCTGTATTTAAGCTATTTTAAATGAATACATTTATACACAATTTCATTATTAAAAATGCACTAATCCATATTCACCTTCCAGATTTCATTTCCAAAATATTTAGTCTGTTTAAAAATATATATACATTACCTATAATATTGAACAGGTAATTTTCAGTCATTTACAGATTCAGTGGTTTAATATTCAGGAAGATGCATCTCCATCTGAACTGCAAAACATGCTTTTCTTACTCTTGTTGTCTTGTTTCCAGTCCAAAAAATACCTAAAAATTCTTAAATCAAGATGCATTCAATCTGTAGTGCAAATGTCTGTTCTGCTGTGTTAATGTTAAAATTGATTAAAAACTATTTGTGAACAACATCGAAAATGTTAGAGCAATGTAATGTAATAATAGTCACAGCAACAAATTTGTGAAAATAAGTAATTTATAATATATCAATAATTATTTAGTTAATGATATGATAATCATTTACTAATGATACGATCATTTCTTGACATACAAAAACATTTTTGGATGACTTAAAACATCACTTATTAATCATCTATAAATGTATATTATTGTTTAAATGATTAGTTAACCATTAGCAAAACATTTTTGAATTACTTATAATTGATCATTATTATAAAGTGTCACCAAAAATTTCATTATAAAGTCTTATCAAAGTCTCTACTCACTCTTGCAACCAAACGGTGTAAAAACTATGATGATATGTTTTTTGTTTTTTTTCAAACATATTTGGCAACCTTGCTGACAAAATGAAAGTGAAAGCAGATTGCTTTACATGCAGAGATTACAAGTGATTTTTTTCCCCTTCATTTAGAAAAACTGATCATCAAACTGTTTTTTTTTTTATTTGCTGATGTGGGAATTTACATGTAGGTAATACAAAACCAAGGACATTTTGAGAGCTTGTCTAGTAGCCGAACATTTTGATCAAAGCAAGTCTTCAGCTGTGGAGCACAAAAGCACTTCCTCATTAATGTAAGTATAAAATACTGACTTAATCATGAAGCACTCAAGAAACATCATTAAATATGGACAAATAGGGATTGTGGCATGTTTTACTCTAATGTTCTTTAAATACTTTAAAAAAAAAAATTATATAATTGATATAATGATCAGTGTCAATGAAAGTAGCTACTGTTGTTACCCCATGTTTTTTTTTAAGGTTGTGTTTTACACTGTAAATAAATTTAAATGTAATAAATGTATTTCAGTCATAGATATTACTCATGCATTGCCTTTTTAAATTAATCTAAGGAGAATGTCTCACCTCTATGTTCTCATTGTGCATTTCATAAAATAATGACAATAGATAAACCCATGATATTGGTCCAGACTGTAACTGTTACGGGGCTGACAAGACGTGAGACGTGCGGATCCATGTGCAAGCTTTAATTCAAGCAGAGAGGTCAGAAACACAGGCAGGGTCGAACAAGGGCAAACAGGTATAATGAGGGCAAGACAGAAGAGTAATCCAAAACGGGCGTGGTCGATAAGCGGCTAACAATATCCAGAGGGCTTGACACGAGGGGTTATCCAATAACAATGCAAAGGTCCAGGCAGGGGCAAACAGTATCCGAACAGGGCAAGACGAGAGAGGTAATCCGAAGTACACAGGCAATAATCAGAAGACGAGGAAACAGACAAGGCAAGACTAGGCTAAGGCTAACGAAAGGAAACAGGCTCCGTAGAGTAGCTATCGCTAAGAGAGTGATAAACGCATACAATACTCGGCAGAGGGAAGGGATCAGAGTGAGTGTTAAATAGTGAGTGAGTGATATGAAACAGCTGTGTGCAATCAGTGCAATCAGTGCAGTGTGCAATCAGTGCAATGAATGATGGGATATGTAGTTCGGGGTGATATGCAACAGTGTGTAGTGCGAGAGTCAATGAAAATGGAAAGGGTGACCTCTGATGGCTAGCAGACGGAAGTTCATGGACCGGATACGTAACAGTAACACTGGATTTCCCTTAGTTGATGACGCTATACAAATGTTAATTTTCTAAGGGAAATTTCGTTTGCACAAAGCAAAGCTAACAGCCATCAAACCCAGTTTTAGATTTTTTTTTGTATATATTTAAAGATGTTTTATGACTCAGTGACTCACAGTATTGGACTACATCTGTTCTATTGAAAGGACTCTAATAAAGCAGTTTTATAATTTATGCTGAACTTGATGTGTAATGTATCCCTCAGTTGTATTTATGTTCAACATATCATTAATTGCTCCAGCTCATTAAAAAGGTGTAGTGTTTATACCCATTCCACAAATCACCATACATATGCTAATAGGCACACCAGGGTATCATGTATAAAACTTTGCATAGATTTCATCCTAAAAATGTGCATACACAGAAAAGGCAGATTTTGCATTTTTAGATTTGTAAAACTGTATATGGCACACCTGTGCAATAATCATGCTGTCTAATCAGCATCTTGATATGCCACACCTGTGAGGTGGATGGATTATCTCAGCAAAGGAGAAGTGCTCACTAACACAGATTTAGACAGATTTGTGAACAATATTTGAGAGAAATAGGCCTTTTGTGTACATAGAAAAAGTCTTAGATCTTTGAGTTCAGCTCATGAAAAATGGGGGCAAAAACAAAAGTGTTGCGTTTATAATTTTGTTCAGTGTATATATATCGCTATCAATATGCGGAGTACTTAAATTGCTTTGGAAGTAGCTCGTGTTGGATGTAGGGTTGCCAAATCCGCATTTTTTGTTCCACGGAATTGGGCTGGTTTTAAACCGTTGCGGCGGGTTGATTTTCTCCCGTGGGTTAAAAGGTTTAAAATATTGCATAAATTACGTCTGACTGAAATGCTTGTATTGAAACATTTTACCTATGATAAAACTGTAGTAGATATAAGTTTTGTGAAGGATGGCCACTGTGGTAGGAAGCCTTTTAGCTGTGTTTATGATCAGTCAGCATAACGGTGACTGTAAAATATGTTGTTCAGGTATGGAAATATTTGTTTTTTCAACAACAATTGAAAATTGTTTTTGAACAATTTCAAAAACGTCCTCATCCTCTATTTTGACAGATAGAATTGATTCTTTACCATAAAGAATATCATTATGTTTAATAGAATGATTTATAACGATATTAAAGCCTTTCCACACTGAGCGCGAAAAAGTTAAACGAATATCGGATGCGATGATGCGCTGGAATAAAACAATCGATTTCTATGGATGCTTCCACATAGACCGCGAACATTCGTGCACCGAAAATGCGAATGTTTTTTTTCCAACCAGTCCGACGAATCTTTTCAGTTTCGCAAAGCGACAATACGGGCTGTCCAATAAGATTTGAGCAAGCATCACGTGACCGGAGCAGCTGCTGTTGCACAAAAAAACAATGTAAACAAACACCGAAGATGAATACCCCGGATAAGAGAAGAGAGTGCATGCTGAGTTCTTGTTATCGTTAGTATTTCAGAACAGATTTATTCTCGCATGTTCTTTATACAGAATAACATTTCTATTAATTCTCCACTGAATCACTGTGATCTATAGAGCACCGTCCATTTTCTTCCACGTGCGCGAATGTTATAGATATATAGACACAAATAGACGTATGATTATGACGATACATTTTCTGTATGTGTTTTGTATGCATGGTATTTTTTTATAGCAATAAAGGATGTTTATGACAAATATTAGCAGTGTAGAATTATGAAACATACAAAGAGTGCATGTGTCTGCTTATTAATCAAAATCAACTATAGATCACAACTGGAAGTTATTACAAGCACTCGATGATGGTTTAATGATTTTAAGCAAATACATTAATAATTACATACATTTTCAAGTGTAGCTTGATGCTAATTGTACTTCTAATTATATTTTAGGATGTAGCCTATTCTTGTAAGCATTATAGATAGTTTGTGTTTCTGGTGTAGAACCGAACTTTGTTTATCTTAATTTAGATGCTAAATCCATTTACGAGATACATATCTGAGGAAAAATGCATTGTTGGTCGGCGCCACCTAGCGTGCAGGCGTGAATTAGCAGAAGGCGAAAAATCGTTTAGTGCTCAATGTGAAAGCACCGTTTGTTGGCGATTCGCCTCGCTTTTTCGCATCGTGCTCAGTGCGGAAAGGCCTTAAGGCTGTTTAATTACTGTAGTTTTTGTGATTGTGTCTTTCATCTAGAGTCAGTGGAGATCAAACTGTTCAGATCATCATGGACGAAACTCAAACATCTGGAGATGAAGATTATTTTCCAGGATTCAGGTACTTTGAGTAACACATATGTTATGTTGTGTTGTGTTATGTTATAGAAAAAAGTTTTTATATGGAAAACAATAATACCATAAAAAAAGTTTTCTTTTTCTTTTTTATAAAAATACTTTTTGAAGTATATTAAAATGATTCTAAAGGATTAAATCTGTTTTGTTTTAGTTCAGTTGATCAGAAGAGATCAGAACCAGAGTCCAGCTGTGTGTCTATGAAAAGTGTTAGGTCTATGGATCGACCAATGAAGTTTAACAGTGGAGATACACAGCCTGATTTCAGGTAACATTTGTATCAAATTATGATTATAGCATGGCATTTTATAGTTTCATACAATATCACAGTTATAACCAGTTTATGAAATGATTATAAAGTGCTATTAAAATTGAATTTGATTATGATAAATGTATAGTTGATTTATTGAATACCGTAATTTAAAGAATTATCTTAAATCTCTTTCTGTTTTAGCTCAGTACAACAGAAGAGATCAGAGTCCAGCTGTGTGTCTGTGAAGAGTGACGCGTCTATTGATCCACCAATGAAGTTTAAGAGTGGAGATTCACAGCCTGGTCTGAGGTATAACATTTAGCATGGCATTTTATATTATTATATATTATCCGTTCATTTCACAGTTTTTGTATAAACAGTGTATGTATTGGTAAAGTGCTCTTTGAAGTGAATTTGGTAATAAATGAATAGGTAATTTGTTGCAAACCGAAATTTAAAAGATTAGCTTTATCTCTCTCTGTTTTAGTTCAGTTCAGCAGAAGAGATCAGAACCAGAGTCTAGCTGTGTGTCTATGAGGAGTGACGCGTCTATGGTTTGTCAAGAACAATTCAAGAGCGGAGATTCACGACCTGGTCTCGGGTATAACATTTCTTAAAGAGATATGATCTGTAGGTATGGTCAGAATACATAAGACATTGTGCCTTTTAACTCATGTAATAATGTGGTATTTTTATTTTACAGCTATGAAGTCCTCAACATGTTTAGATCAAATCTACTGAAGAAGTTTGGGTGTCTGTATGAGGGAACAGCGATGCAGGGAAACTCAACACTCCTGAATGAGATCTACACAGAGCTCTACATCACAGAGAGTGAGAGTGGAGAGATCAGTAATGAGCATGAGGTGAGACAGATTGAGACACAATCCAGGGTGCAGAAATTCATCCTGGACTGTGCTGAAGAGAAAGAGAATCAGGACATCCAGCTCATATTTCCACTTCCTTTCAGAGAAATCAACCTGATGAAGGACAAAACACTCAGTCTTTCAGATCTTCTTCATGTCTTCTTCCCTGAAACTAAAGAAATGGAAATATCTAGTGATGAATATAAAGTGTTGCTCATCTTTGATGGTCTGGACGAATGTCATCTTTCCTTATATTTTCAAAGAAATTAGATTCTACGGGATGCAAACAAAACAACATCAGTGGATGTGCTGCTGATGAACCTCATTGTGGGAATCTGCTTCCCTCTGCTCTCATCTGGATCACCTCCAGACCAGCAGCAGCTGATCTCGTCCCCTCTGAGTGTGTCCATCGAGTGACAGAGGTACGAGGCTTCAATGAGCCACAGAAGCAGGAATACTTCATGAAGAGGATCAGTGATCAGAGTCTGGCCAACAGGATCATCACACAACTGAAGTCATCAAGGAGCCTCTACATCATGTGCCACATCCCAGTGTTCTGCTGGATCTCAGCCGCTGTTCTAGAGAAGATGTTGAGTCCAGCAGAGAGTGGAGAGATTCCCAAGACTCTCACTCAAATGTACACACACTTCCTGATCCTTCAGACCAACATCAAACATCAGAAGGACTATGAGAAGAAGGTGACAGATGAAGACATAATCCTCAAACTGGGGAAACTGGCTTTTCAGCAGCTTGTGAAAGGCAACCTGATCTTCTATGAGGAAGACCTGAGAGAGTGTGGCATTGATGTGACAGAAGCATCAGTGTACTCAGGATTGTGCACTCAGATCTTCAGAGAGGAGTTGGGCTTGTATCAGGGGAAAGTCTTCTGCTTTGTTCATCTGAGCATTCAGGAACATCTATCAGCTCTATATGCACATCTCTCCTGTACAATCAACAACATATATGTGTTTAATCAAACCAAACAAAGGCAGTTGCATAAGATTATTAACCAGAAGAAATATAGTTTATTATCTGAGCTGCATCAGAGAGCTGTGGACGAGGCTTTACAGAGTAAGAATGGGCATCTGGATCTTTTCCTGTGTTTTCTTCTGGGTCTTTCAGTAGAGTCCAATCAGACTCTCTTACGAAAACTACTGAAAACATCAGAAGGACTATGAGAAGAAGGTGACAGATGAAGACATGATCCTCAAACTGGGGAAAGTGGCTTTTCAGCAGCTTGTGAAAGGCAACCTGATCTTCTATGAGGAAGACCTGAGAGAGTGTGGCATTGATGTGACAGAAGCATCAGTGTACTTAGGATTGTGTACTCAGGTCTTCAAAGAGGAGTTGGGCTTGTATCAGGGGAAAGTCTTCTGCTTTGTTCATCTGAGCATTCAGGAACATCTATCAGCTCTATATGCACATCTCTCCTGTACAATCAACAACATATATGTGTTTAATCAAACCAAACAAAGGCAGTTGCATAAGATTATTAACCAGAAGAAATATAGTTTATTATCTGAGCTGCATCAGAGAGCTGTGGACGAGGCTTTACAGAGTAAGAATGGGCATCTGGATCTTTTCCTGCGTTTTCTTCTGGGTCTCTCACTGGAGTCCAATCAGACTCTCTTACGAAAACTACTGACACAGACAGGAAGCTGCTCCTACAACAAAGAGGAAACAGTTCAGTGCATCAAACAGAAGATCAGGCAGAATCGCTTTCCAGAGAAATCCATCAATCTGTTCCACTGTCTGAATGAACTGGGTGATGATTCACTGATGCAGGAGATCCAACATTATCTGAGATTTGGAGAAATAAGAGAAACTAAACTCTCGTCTTCACAGTGGTCAGCTCTGGTTTATGTGTTGCTGACATCAGAGCAGAAGATGGATGTGTTTGATCTAAAACCGTTTATTGGAGCACAACATGCAGGAGATAGAGTTCTTCAGAATCTGTTACCTGTGGTTAAACAATCCAGATCAGTTTGGTGAGTAACACTGAAAACAATCACTGCACTTTCAAAACAGGATCACATTCTTACCAAAGCATCAAAATGGGTGAAATCTCACAGAATCACATTACTGGTGGTGAGAAGGAGGTGTGTGAGACAAACATACTGAGCTGAGGAGGTTTTTGTGTGTCTCAAGTCAAGTTGAGCTTTAGTGTTATTCCGCTACATGTGTGGACATACAGTGGAACGAAATGTCATGTCTCACAGGACCACGGTGCTAAATAAATAACATAAATATAAACATACAACACTAGACATAAGAACAACTTTTAGACTTACATAGCTAACTTTATGAAGTGGTAGTCTAACTATACATATACTATAAATAGTTGACTATGCATACACTGCAGTTCCCGTACCAGACAGTGATGAAGCTGGTCAGCACGCTCTCAATGGTTCCCCTGTAGAATGTGGTGAGGATGGGTGGAGGGAGACTTGCTCTTTTAAGTCGGCGCAGGAAGTGGAGCCGCTGTTGCACCTTCTTGGAGAGTGATGTAATGTTGGTGGTCCAGGTGAGGTCTTCTGTTATGTGCACCCCCAGGAATTTAGTGCTGCTGACTCTCTCCACAGTCGAGCTGTCGATGGTAGTGGGGGGGTGGTCAACAGAGTTTCTCCTGAAGTCCATCACAACCTCCTTTGTCTTACTCACTTTGAGGGACAGGTTATTTGCCTCACGCCATTCAACCAGTTGTGCCACTTCCTTTCTGTAGGGTGTTTCATCATTGTTGCTGATGAGACCTACCACAGTTGTGTCATCAGCAAACTTGATGATGTGGTTGGAGCTGAACTTGGTAGTGCAGTCGTGGGTCAGCAGCGTGAAGAGCAGCGGGCTGAGCACACAGCCTTGTGGAGCACCTGTGCTCAGTGTGGTAGTGCTGGAGGTGTTGTGGCTGACACGGACTGACTGAGGTCTTCTGGTTAGAAAGTCCAGGATCCAATTACAGAGGGAGGTATTTAGGCCCAGCAGGTTTAGTTTGTTGATGAGCTGTGGGATTATTGTGTTGAATGCTGAGCTGAAGTCGATGAACAGCATTGTAACATAAGAGTCTAAGTGGGTAAGAGCCAGGTGGAGGGTGGAGGAAATGGCATTGTCCGTGGAGCAGTTTGGACGGTATGCAAACTGGAGCGGGTCAAGTTTGTTGGGGAGATTGGATTTTATATGGTGCATGACTAACCTCTCAAAGCACTTCATCATGATTAGGGTCAGTGCTATGGGACGATAGTCATTCAGGCAGGACACAGGTGACTTCTTTGGTACTGGGGTGATGGTGATGGACTTGAGATATGTGGGGACAACTGCTTGGCTTAGTGAGATATTAAAGATGTCTGTTAAGATATCGGTCAGCTGTTCAGCACAGTTTCTCAGTACCCGGCCTGCTATGTTGTCAGGACCTGCAGCCTTGCGTGGGTTAACCCTAGATAGGGTCTTCCTTACATCGACTGGAGACAGACAGAGCGCCTGGTCATTGGGACGTGTGGGTAGTTTTTGTGCAGGTTTGTCACTCTGCATTTCAAACTCATTGAGTGCATCTGGGAGGGATGTGTCGTCATCACAGGCCTGTGGCAGGGGCTTGTAGTCTGTGATGGTCTGAATAGCATGCCACAGACTCTGTGTGTCCTTGCTGTCAGTGAAGTGATTATTGATTTTTTTGTGCATACAACCGTTTTGCTTTCTTGATGCCACAGGACAGGTTGGCTCTTGCTGTTTTGAGGACTGCTTTGTCTCCCGATCTGAATGCTTCATCTCAGGTCTTTAGCAGCCCACAAACCTCTGCTGTCATCCCTGGCTTCTGGTTGGCACGTGTGGTGATGTTCTTGGTGACTGTCACATCATCAATACACTTTTTGATGTAAGCAATCACTGTTTCAGTGTACTCTTGCAGTTCTGTGTGGTCATGGTAGGTGGCTGCCTCTTTAAACATGTTCCAGTCTGTGTCCTGGAAGCAGTCCTGTAGTGCTGAGGTAGCATCGTCTGGCCATACTGTGATTTAGCATAACAGAGATGTGGTCTGAGTACCCGAGATGGGGGCGGGGTGCAGCTTTGTACGCATTTTTTTCTGTTGTGTAAACCAAGTCCAATGTGTTGTTTTCTCTTGTTGCAAAGTTCACGTGTTGGTAGAACGTTGGCAAAACTGTCTTTAAGATTGCGTGATTAAAGTCACCGGATATTATGAAAAAGCCATCAGGGTTGTTTGTTTGTTGCTCACTGATAGTGCTGTACAGTTCGCGAAGCGCGTCTTTAGCATTTGCACAAGAGGTATATACACAGCAACGATAACAATGGCCGTGAACTCTCTCGGCAGATAGAAGGGTCGGCACTTCACAATTATAAACTCCACCAGCGACGAGCAGTGTTTTGACACTAACACAGCATTGTTGCACCATTCTTTGTTAATATACACACACAAGCCGCCTCCGCGAGTCTTACCAGACAGTGCTGGATCTCTGTCCGCTCGGTAGCAGGTTAGCCCGTGCAGCTGAATGGCGGAGTCTGGGATGTTGTTGTTTAGCCACGCTTCAGTAAAAACAAACACGCAGCACTCCCTTGTCTCAGGCTGTGTAGTCCGACAGAGTCGAATTAGGTCCAGTTTATTTTCTAGTGAGTGTACATTTGACATCAAGATTTTTGGAATAGCTGGTCTTGTGTGGGTCCTGTGCCCCAGTATAGTGATGGGGGGAAAAAAAAACAAGGTACCGTCACAAAGTTCTTTTTTGGCAAAATTAATATAAGCTATTCTGTGTCTTAAGACAATTTACGTTAGAACAAGGTCAATAAAACATCTTTATTGTATTTCTACGGGTAGAGGAGAATAGCCAAACCAAAAAGAAACAAAGAAAACACAATGTAACATTTATAAAACTGTACTCATGCAAAAAATAATCCATGCATATGTGGATCAGGTGACGCGTGCATTAATTGACGTCTAGTTTGAGTTGATCTTGTTCGGTTCATTTGGATTTTGAGACTTAATTTTCGTAGGAATGCAGTGGAATATTCTGGTCTACTTTCTCAGGTTTGGCTCCAGTATATTGCATAAATGCTAAAAACACTAATAGGCCATATGCCTAACAATAAATATTCAATAACGTGTGTCCACAAAAGCGTTTTTAGCCAGCTGAAAAACTGTCAGGCGCTCTTTTTAAAACGGCCAGCTGGTGGTGCTGGACGCTTTGGTGGCACAGACAGTGTCATCAGTTTGCCAAAAAGAACACAGAACATTTTACGCACCATTTACACGTGGTAAGGAGCAGGTGTAC